TTATTGATTGAACTGCTAGTATGTACCCAACACTGAACCCAAAGCTCATTGTTACTAGGAAAGGGGGTTGATATTTACCATTTCCTAGATGCCAGGCACTTCTTTACACAAATTCTCTAATATAAGCATCACAACACCCTATGAATAGACATTAGCCCAATTTTTACAAACGAGATTGAGGATTAACAAGATTAAGTGACCCATCTGTTACCAACAGAACAGATGATGGGCATTTGGTCATCTATGGGGTGCATCTTTTTTTTTTTTTACATTTTTATTTGTCTCAGAAACAGTACAGTTTTTTTTTTTTTTATCCTCACCCGAGGATATTTTTCCATTTTTTGTACAGATAGAGTGGGAGGGAGAGAGAGGAAGGAGTGAGAGAGAGAAACATCGATGTGAAAGGGACACATCGAGTGGCTGCCACCCGCACGACCAACCAGGGCCGGGGACAAACTGCAACCGAGTTACGTGCCCTTAGCGGGAACCGAACCTGGGTCTCTCCGGACCGCAGGCCGACGCTCTAACCGCTGAGCCAAACTGGCCAGGGCAGGGTGCATCTTTCTTGCCCAGTCAATCATCCTCCCTGGAATTTTTTTAACAGGGTAAATAACTCTCTGGAATCCTTCCTGCCCAAAGGCCCTAGACCCTAACAGACTCCCCTGGCCCTGAGATTCTAGGATTCAAGGTTGTGTCATACTTGGGCAACTATTAAGAAACAGCAGGGGGCAGCATGACCTTAAGAATAAAGCTGTTACACACCCCCCCCACCTCCACTCCACTTCCCCATCCTGGGGCCATTTCTGTTATTCACTCACCCCCTTCAAAATATTTCTTTTATCATAAAGTGAGAGGGTGGTGATGGTGGGGAACTAGACATATTTATGATGGCCCAAAATAAAGGAACTCATAATTGGAATTTAATCTGAATAAATACTAAAAGCTAAAACATTTTTTTGTGAGGAATTTTTTTTAGCAGTTTTGCAGTGTAAGGTAATGTTTGAGGTGGAAAGACCCTTAGAGGTTATCCAACTTCCTCATTTTACAGGTGTGGAAACTAACTGGTCTAGTTTCCCAGTTGAGTCTTGCCTTGCATTTCTCAGGAACAGAGACTTCTTTAGATTCCTAAACAGCAGGCCTTTCTTGCTTGACACAGGTTCTACTGGCCTGAGAAGAAAGTAAAATGGAGATTTCTAGAACTATTTTTCTGGACTAACCTCAACTTGGGTCAGTTTTGTCCCTCCAGGTGAGAGGGGCAGGCTGCAGTGTGTAACTGACTCCAACAAAGGAGGCCCCCTGGGGCTAAAGTGGAATGAATTTAGGATTCCTGTGGGAGAAAATTCCAGAGATTAGGAATTACTGAACATCTGAATAGACAGACAGCTGAGAACGGTAGTGGAATATTCTTTTCTATCTGTCTGAATCAGTTAATTTGGGTTTCTTAGAGGCAAGAGAATGGATTGAGTGGGTGGCCTTTTAAGGTTCCTTCCTGTCCAAGGACTCTTATTAAGTTAGGTAATATAATAAAGGTAAATCCAATCTGAAAGACTCCCCCAGCCAATGTTAACTGAAGCTTTATGAGGGAAACTTTAGTTGAGCTTCTAGTTTCTCATTTTCTTCTCTGCTATGCAGAAATTAGCAGCATGGAGAAGGGAGGCAGCTGGTGTGACTTTTAGGGGAAGAAATGTGTTACTACAATGGTAAGGGATGAAATGCACTCATGATTTTCCAGAGATGGACAAAGAAGCCTGATAGAACCAGGGTAGGTAGTCTCACTGAATTAAATTCTGACATATTAGCTTTTATTAATGGAGGAAGGCTAGGGGGATTGGTTTAAAAAAAAACAGGTTGGGGAGGCTCCCCATGTTCTTTGGTACCTCTTAAAAATACAACAGACATGGTAACTATAGACAGCTCCTTATTGCTGGGCAAGTCACCACACAGCCCCTTCTAAATGGAGGAAAGGGACCCCCAGTGAGAAGCCATTAACAAAGGCAAAAGACATGCAAAACAAACAAAATAATCATGACAGAGAGAGAAGGCCAGCAGACAGTCTGGCTCTGTTCTCCTACCTCCTGCTGCAGGCACCTCAGACAATGTAAACAGTTAATTTGTTCACCTGCAGGCTCTGGGCAAACAGAGGCCTGGTCACACCTGAGTGGATAACTCGATTACCCCTATAATGCCAGCGTGGTAATGTACACAAATTCTATTACACGGCAAACCTTGCTTTCGGGCATTTGAAATACCAATCAGGCCAATGTCCACTCCCTTCTTTGCTTCCAATTTATTCTTGGTATATTAGAGCTGCACCGGAATGGCACTATGGTGGTGCTGAATTAGGACTCTGGAAGAAATCATCAGAAGATTGTGATCTTACTGAGCTAGGCTCATGCAGGCCTCTTATTCTCTTGGAAAGGGTGAGGTCTAAATTTGGTCCTGGTTCAGAGGGGACTCTGTTGGAACCACTGAAGGAGCTTATGGTATATTTCAAATCGAGACAAACCCTTATCAACAGTTCTCAACCTGTGGGTCACGACCCCTTTGAGGATCGAATGACCCTTTCACAGGGCTCGCCTAAGACCATTGGAAAACATATTTCGGATGGTCTTAGGAACAGAGACATTGTTCCTCTATCGGTCTTCCAGGCAGGTCCACCCACATGCAGATCCACCCACATACAACATGAGGAACTGTATTAAAGGTTCGTGGCATTAGGAAGGTTGAGAACCACTGCCTTAGATACACAGCAAATGATAGGTTAATGACACTGTGGATTTTCACTATTCCTTTATGGAATCCACATACTCATCGAAGAACAGTGTGTCTGTTTCAAAATTGTGTTTCTAGATCTTGATTGACCTCATAGAGAGGGAGAAAAGTTAAAAAAATTATTGATTTTAGAGAGAGGAAGAGAGAGAAACAAATATCGATGTGAAAGAGAAACATCAACTAGGGATTAAACACACAACCTGGGTGTATGCCCTGACAGAGAACCAAACCCACCACCTTTTGGTATACAAGATGTTTTTTTTTTTTTTTAATCCTCACCCGAGGACAGTTTTCCATTTTTTGTTCAGACAGAGTGGGAGGGAGAGAGAGGAAGAGAGAGAGAGAAACATCGATGTGAAAGGGACACATCAAGTGGCTGCCACCCGCACGACCAACCAGGGCCGGGAACAAACTGCAACCGAGGTACATGCCCTTAGCGGGAACCGAACCCGGGTCTCTCTGGACCCCAAGCTGACGCTCTAACCGCTGAGCCAAACCGGCCAGGGCTGGTATACAAGATGACGCTCCAACTAACGGAGTCGCACTGGCCAGGGCAAGAGAGAGAACATTTTCTTTTTGTTGTTAATCTTCACCTGAGGATATTTTTCCATTGATTTATAGAGTAGAAGGGGGGGGGGAGAGATATCGATGTGAGAGAGACACATTGATTGATTGCCTCTGGCCTGGGCAAGAGAGAGAACTTTTAAAAAAGTTTTCTTCAGCCCTGGCCAGTTTGGCTCAGCGGTTAGAGCGTCGGCCTGTGGTCCAGAGAGACAGGGTTTGGTTTCCGCTAAGGGCATGTACCTCAGATGCAGTTTGTCCCCGGCAACCACTCGATGAGCCCTTTCATGTCGAGGTCTCTCTCTCTCTCTCCCTCCCTCTCTCTCTCTTTCTCTCTCTCCCTCCCAATCTATCTGAACAAAAAACAAAAACAATGTCCTTGGGTGAGGATAAAAAAAGTAAATAAAATAGATAACTTTGCATTAAAAAAAAAGTTTTCTTCAGGGACCTAGTTCCTTAGTCCACCTACATAGAATACGTGGTAGTCTTTCACAAAGATGCTGCTGCTGATTCCTCAGTAGCCCATAAATTCTTAATCTTCTTCACACTATGGGAGGATTTATAATAATCTATCCTTTTTTTAAAAAAAATCCTCACCCAAGGATATATTTTCCATTTATCTTTAGATAGAGTGGGAAGGAGAGAGAAACATGGATGTGAGAGAGGCATATCAGTTGGTTGCCTCCTGCACGACCCCAACTGGGAACAAACCTCAACCGAGGTACGTGCCCTTGACCAGAATGAACTCTCGACTCTTTGGTCCGAGGGCTGACGCTCTACCCGCTGAGCCATGCCAGCAAGGGCGATAATCTGTCCTTTTTCCCCCCAATTCTTTTATGATCAGCAACACTATTTGTGAGATGATTAGCTGGGGCTAGGGGTTAACTTTGTGACTGAGGAAGAGAATAAAGTTAGCTGACACTTTTGGGGTTTGAATCACTATCTTGGCCTTATTAGCACTTGAACAAACCAATTGAGGTAGCTAGCTCTGACTCCTCCCCCCACATAATTATATTACAGTCTTGTTTATTTATATTTTATTTTTTTATTTTTTATCCTCACCCGAGGACATTTTTTGTTCAGGTAGAGTGGGAGGGAGAGCGAGGAAGAGAGAGAGAGAGAGAGAAACATCGATGTGAAAGGGACACATCGAGTGGCTGCCAACCACACTACCGACCAGGGCCGGGGACAAACTGCAACCGAGGTACGTGCCCTTAGTGGGAACCGAACCCGGGTCTCTCGGGACCACAGGCCGACGCTCTAACCGCTGAGCCAAACTGGCCAGGGCTTGTTTATTTATAAATGAAATAATAAGGCAGCTGACCTAGTCAGAATGTTTTTAAGAGTATTATAAGGTAATAAATTATGTACATAGTGATGACCTTTTAAACATCACAAGACCCTAAAAGATCAAATTTTTATTGGCATAGTTTTAATATTATGTCTTACTTATTGTATTTTTTAAATTTGAAAATTAGTTCCTGGATCTGAATTTTCAATTAAAATTTTCCCTAAGAATTATAAATCAATGGGAATTGATGTGTGAGGGAGCCATGTAATATACACAAGAGAAGTATATGACACGGAATAATTCTGGTTATGGTGACTACATCATTAAGAGTGAAATAATAAACTTTTGTTCCCAGCCCCATATTCTATGTCCTTACCTTGCTCAGAATGCGGATGAGGTCACCCCGTTGGAAGGACAGTTCGTCTGGCTGGTCACCATGGCAATCCCATAAGCCCTGGTAATAACTGGCATAGTCCACTGATCAAAGAGAGGAGAAATCAAAGTTATAAAGATTCTGTCTTTTTCCATAGAGCCCACATTTTTGCTGCAAATGGAAACCAGGGTTCTGATATTGCCCCTAGGAAACCTGAGATTCAGGGGGGTTGGGATGAGATACAGCTAAACACTCAGCATGAGCAAAGGACTATGGGAGGAGATCATTAACTAACATTAAATATTTACAGATCACCCTTAGTCGGATGCTGTTCAATAATATGATAAATATATTCATTTATTAACAAAAGGAAATCAGGCAGGTGATTTTTCACTTGGTTTGTAAGTAAGCAGCACAAAGAGTTTTCCTGCTAGACTTAGTTGATCCTGGGCGTCTAAACCATCAGTGCTTCTCTTCATTATGCATTTAAAGGAATGGGGTAATCTCTGACTTCTTATTTACAAGAGAGGCTGAGTCAACCATCATGTGTCTGCATCACAGTCTCACTTGTTGGCCTCTGTTACAGAACTTTAGCCTGGGCACTTCCCACCCAGGTACTATATGAGGTAATCACCAATAAATACGGAAACAAATAGCCCAGTCTTTAAGTGGAACCAAGGGGGTGTCTCATCCATTACAACTAAATTCTGGGTGGGCTGGCCCTTTTCCAGCATCTCATTTGTAGACCCTGGACACGTCTGCCAAGATTTATCTGCAAGCCCCCAGGGGAACAGAAACCAAAGTGATCTGCATTAAAAATGAAAGCAACTCAAGACGACAAACCAAGCTTCAGAAGCAGCAGGAGAGATTTACTGAGCTTCTCAGCAAGACTAGATGGCAGTGATGCCACAGGACAGCCATCGATTCTTAACAATGAAGAATTTGTATTGATCTTCTTCTACCCGGAAAGGTTAAACACTAGAGTACAGAATGGGAGGGGATCTGGGGATTTGGACGGCAGGAGAGCTAATGCCCACCAGACCAGGGATAATGTGGCAGTGCCCCCAGTCCCTTAGGATGCTATGTATGAGAGCTGCAAGCAAAGCACCTACCAAAGGTGAAATTCCTACCATTGGGAGTCAGGAGTCCTGGGTTCTAATGAAAATTTAAGTGACTTTTGGGGACCCTATTTTACCAGTTTCCACTTTTCATTTGTCTTAACCCTCCTGTGAGGATAATGGAGCTACTTGCTGAGGATGGGAATAGATGGGGGCAAGTGGGCAGTAGGGGGACAGAGGCCTGGCTATATTTCCTTTTTTCTGCTTGTTACTAACTTACGAGCAATTCACATAATAAAGGCACAGGGGAACAAAATCCATATATATGTCTCTGGAAAAGAACTTTAGTAGGAATCTTAAAGTGCACAAAAACAGAGGCGGGACAGAGCTATTTCGTTAAGACTCAGATATTACAAACAGAGTAAAAATGTTAACCATATAGAAAATCAGGCATGTTTTCTTTACACAGAAAATGGTTTGTATATACAGTAGACAACAGAGGGCAGCAAACAGATAACTATGCTAGAAACGTTCTGCCACAGGGTTAAGAATATTTTTGGAAGAAACAACACTTTGGGATAAAAATGCTAACTAGTGAAAGGACAAAGCATATATTTCTTGGATATCAGTGGATGAAATAATAGAGAAATATCAGTCCCTGAAAAGTAAAAGTTTTCCCAGAAGATATATTAATGCATTTTCAGTTGTAATAGAGTTGATTAATCACCCCAAGAGTTTGACTAAATTTAGGGATAAAAAGTATATTGACATCAATATAATATGGCAGAGAAAATAATTTTATAAAAATAGATTTTAAAAACATAACTTGATATATCCAAATGTTAAGACTGACAATATTATCTTGGCTTTTTCTGGCCCTAGCAGATGGTCACTGGGGGGTATTGCTCCCCATATGTCTGGATATAGGATAGCACTTAAGATTATGAGTACCTTTGGGTATACATGGAAATAAATAATTTGATATTGAGGATATAAAGCACCTGGGGAGAACACCTGGAAAAAGACCTATTCTAAAAGCACAATAGATCACAGAGAAAGCAAGAAGTTAGGAGGGAAAGGAAAACCTTCCAAGAAAAAGTAAAGATAGAAAATGCCTTCAGTTCTTTATAAGCTGAAGGCCAAAAGGAAATGGAGCTCAGGAATCCAGGAGACAGGTCAGCCTAACCCAAGAACTGCAATAGTCAGAACCATACCAAAAAAATGCTCTGAAAAATAAGCAGAATAAAGGGCTAAAACTGGGGGACAGGTTAGATTTGCTATTTAGACAGAAATATTCTCGTATTAAGGAAATCAGGGAGGAGGAATACCTTAACTGGACAAGATTGGATTTTGTAGTGCAGACTTCCCGTTTAACATGTGTGGTTTGTATTCATGTGTAAGTATGTACACAGCTTCACTGCATTCATTCCTTAGCATTCAACAAACATGTACACAACACCTACTAAGTGCTAGGGACTCTGCTAGATGCTGGGAATTTTGCATTGGCCACATTTGGTCCCTGCCCTCAGGCCTACCATCCAGTGGGGGAGGTACCATTAAACAGTCACATCCTGTAACAAGTGAATGCATGAGAAGATTTTGATGTCTAGATCAGTGAGGAATTGGGAGCTCCAGAGAGAGGACTGCCTCTGTGGGCTGGATCGGGTTTCCTTTAAGTTTATACTACTCGGGCAGCAGTCTGAGATCAGAAATGGTGCAGCATTCTGATCATTTAATTAATTCAAAACATCCTCATTCTCATTTTGAGGACATTATTCCATCTAATTATTTTTTTCCAGTCTGTCCATTTGGAAGGAAAAACAAAAGAATAAAGCTTAATGCCAGTATTTCTCAATGTCTCTCCAAAAAATGTAACTCTGCACTAAATAAAGCCTGGTAATTCAAAAGCAAAGCACTAATATATTCAGCATAAAACAGACAGAGGACCTAGAGCAATAATGACACCACTAATAACTAAAACAGTTATAACAATTAACAACAATTACAATGATAGAGAAGTTAATGGGTATGATCATAGCACTTAAATTGCTAGTAGAGCTGAGAAAGACTTATTAGAGGAAAAAGGGGGGCGGGCAACATCTTATTTTCTTTATCTCACGTAAGAGAAGCTAAAATCCAAGCAAACAAAATGTCATAGAAAAAATAGCAACAGGCCAAGTTAAAAAAATATTATTTTTCTCTCTTTTCTAGGTATTTACTGCAAAGCATTTGTCATTCCACACCAAGTTCTTTATAACCAGTGATAGTAAGTTCTCCTGTTACTGAGCCCAAGTTGGTGCTATTGTTGACAGAGTTAATATTTGAAAACAAGCTTCTGTGACATGGAGAGTTCTACGGTGAAAGGACACCTTTCTGTCTCAAGGATTCCTTAGGGACAACAGAACCTGACTGTGTTCCTTCCAGAGTTCACATATCACCTTGGGCTTTTGTTTGGGGGACACTGGGTAGTAGATGCAGAATTCAAGCTGTGACCAAGAGAAGAGGCTAAAGGAGGTCAGTGTGTGTTTACATTTTCCTGATGAGCAAAAAGGACTGTGCCAACAAGGCCTGGCATTGGGTACAACCACTTAACAAATTATAGAAAAGAGAGGCATAATGAGAAGACACACAAAGCCAGTCCTTACTAGAGCCTGAGTTAGTAAGACTTGGACAAAGAAGGCCAAAGCAGTGACCCACTGGAAGGGTCTTGAAAAGGCCTCCATGTTCAGTCCATTAAAGCAGTCTCAGTCTGATACCATATTAACTAATTCAGAAGAAAACACATAAAAAAATTTGCCAAGCTCATTGACTATGACATCAGAGCAGGAAGAGCAACCGAACAATACCATTTGCTGGTTTTCATAGCTCTTTAATCTTAAGTTTTGAAGTTATTATGTTCCTTAATATTATAACTATGATCTTGAAGTGGGAACACCCACAGATCCAGATTCTCATCTCCTGTGCTCCTTTTATTGGGCCAAAATTGTAGCTGGCTGATGATTAACTCATGTTTGGTCTTGGGAAATAAGTTTCAAAAAGTTAGAGCTGCAAATACCTCTGCGGCTTCCCTCTGTTTCTTTTGTGTAATAGTTCACCCCACTGGCGGGCACCAAAGTGGAAAGAATGCCTCAGAGATGGAATGTTCCTCAGTGACCATTTTCCTACTCTGCAGAGACTACTGAATGTGGGCTCTTCTTTGGCTGAGTTTGCCCACAATTTCAGAGTGAAAATAAACTGTTTCAAGATCTTCCTTGATCAGAGATTTGATATATCTAAGGATCATTTGTGTCTCCGGCTCTGCTTTTTATTTGACATGGCATACTCAAACAAATGGCCAGTAGTTTCCATATAAACAACACAGAAGGAGCTTTATTTTTGGTTACCTGAACATTGCCTTCTCATGATGGGGAAAGGAGATAAACTCTCATCACCGAAGACACTTAGTGTTAGACTGTTGGGCTGATGGGTTGGAATTTAGTGAACATCTGAGGTGTTGAAGAGTCACTCATTAAAATAACCCTGTTACTAACAGTCATGCTGTAAACCAAGCTCTTTATAGATTGAACAATCAATAGTACAAGGCTGTGATAGATTTTCTAGGTAACAGAATAAAATAAAAGAAATTACATTTTACAGGGTCATTAACACCCAATAAGGACAAACTGAATTCCTTTTCTTCCCTCTACTGATACGATCTAGTTGGGCTTTAAAAATATTAGCAATTCCATTAGGGGAAAGCACAGCAATCCGGGAACAGGATCCCTGGAATGGTAGAGAAAATAGATTTTAGAAGTAACCCTGCTAACCATAGTATCTTTGAGGAGAAAATATTTTTTTCCCCCTCAAAAGGCATGTGTCACCTGAGAAAACTAAGTGAACCGAACTTAGATAGCCTGTCTATTACATAAGAATTCACATGGTCTTAGAGCTAGCTCCCTGCCTTTTACATGCCTTCAGTGGGGCTGCCTACCCTTCCCCCATCTCTGTATTTTACTGTTATAACACTAAGTGATGACATTTGCATGTTACATATTTATTGCCATTTCTACAGCTCCTTTGGAAAAAAGGCACTATATAAATTTGATAAATAAATAAGTAAACACAAATAATAAAAATTCCTGCCTCAGATTCTGCAGAGAGAGCGAAAAGTCCTCTTCTGTTTTTTAATCACTAAGTCACCAATCATTATAACTGGTGGGAAGTATAAACCACAGAAACATATTTAGAGCTCACTACACTTTAACAACACCTATTTTGGAGGCAGGAAGCATGAACAAAAGGGTTTTTTAATATAAAAAAAGCTACTTGAATTATAGCTGCTGGAACAGTTAAGAAATAAATCTCCTCCACCCCCCAGATAGAACCTTAGAAAGAGAGGAAGAAGGAGGAAGTGAGATGAAGGAGGAGTCTAAAACTAAATTTTTAGACTTTTGCCAGAAGACTGCTGCTTCCTGAATGAAGTTTACTATAAAGTTGGCCATAGGAAGCTTCCAGCTATTCCACCCAACCTGTCCACATGAAGTGTTTCCTTCCTGCACCGGTGATGGAAATCAGTGGAGAAAAGAGATACACAGGGCATGGATTGGTCAGGAAACAGATTTTCTGTTAAAAGTCTGTACAGCAAGTAGAAAACAGTAGAAAATAGGTTTTAGAGTGGACTAAATCTTGTGTTTATCGTTATGAGGCACTTACTTGAAGCTACACTAACACTCCTGCATCACACACACCTCAGTTCTTTCTTTCTTTCCTGCTTTGGCACATGACTCTTTGCTGTCTTTTCTCTCCCTTGGGAGAAGTTGGACATTTATGAAGTTGGTTCCTTCACTAAACCTGTTACATATTTACTTCCCATAGAGCATGAACCAAGGTAAGGAGCTTTGCTGAATGGAGAAAGAAGAGAAGAAAAGGCACAAGGAAAGGAAGAGAGAAGAGAAAGGGAAAAAATAGTAACAGAGAAATGGAGAGGGATCAGGGAGGAGAAGAGGAAAATACTTCCTAGGCTTAAGACTTTCACAGACTCTCTAAGAAAAAATCAGCCACAATTTAGACTCTGTTGATAGAATTAAATGTCCTTGAGGTGGCCCTTGCAACACACATTCCTTTACTGACAATGACAGAATAGGTCCTTGGTCCACTTAAGGAGGCTTTAGAGGAGCACCTGACCTTAGAAAGGATGGGCTCACTAGCAGCCTGAAGCATGGTTAACAGTCTGAGATGAATAAGATGTAATTTTGTATTCAACAAACCTGTTACATATTCATTTCCAAATGTGCCTGGAATCAAACCAGGCCATCAGAAGTCAGCATCACCAAGCAATTCTATCCTTCACCCCATGTTCACTTTTCAGATTTGACACATTTCCATTCCCCTCTGAACTTGCAATCTCCAGGCCTCTCAGAGAGGAGACATTTCCATTCTTTCCATTCTCAATCCTCTGATCTCTTAGAGATGAGGCAATTCTATTTCCCCTGTACTGATTTCAGAAATACTGATAGGAAGAAATAAATATCTGGTTTGGTTTCCACCCTCTCTAGGATAGATCTTAACTGTTCTGGGAACATTAATTAAAATGAATGGCTGGCTGATTTTAAAGTTAAGATATTTCCCTATCCAGTTATCTTATTTGGGGCTTTTGAGGTCGACACACCAGTATTTTGTTAATTAGTGAGTCCTGTAATATAAGAAAGGTACTTTCTCTAGTCGGGAGCCCCACTGTCTAGCTCAGTGCCTGTACATGTATGAAGCTCTCATACCTCCTTTTTGTCCACTGCCATTCTCATCCTCTTCTAGAGCATTCTCATTCTCATGCTCGTCATCTGAGGGGACAAACATCATCAGCATTAGCAGTTGATGGTCAATAGTCATGTGTTCTTTATACCTCTGAACTCATCGTGCTCTCTTACTTAAGGAAATAATTACCATGTTCTTTTCTATTTTTATTTATTTTTTAGAGAGAGAGGGAGAGATAGAAACATTGATGTGAGAAACATGGATCTTCTGCCTCTTGCACGTCCCCCCCTACTGGGGATCCAGCCTGCAACTCGGACATGTGCCCTGACCAGAAATCAAACCGGGACCTCTCAGTCCAGGGATGACGCTCAATCCACTGAGCCACACTGCTGGGCTACCATGTTCTTTAAAAAACAACAACAAACTCTTACTTTCAAACAGGCCCTCTCCTTCCCTTCCTGTTCATTCATTCACAAACGTTTTAGTAAGTTCTGATAACCCACTACAATTGGACCAGCCCATTCACAAACATTTTAAAGTGCTTACTATATGTAAGGTGCTGCACTAGGAACTGGACAAGCCCAGCAGCATCCCTGCCCTCGAAGAGTTTCTAATCCAATGATTATTTAGGTGCCTATCACTAAATCCTAATTCTTTTCCTCAAACCCTATTTCTTCTCCCTTTTTGGAATCCTCTTCAAAATGTATTATCTCCACATAAATGTCCAGACTTAGAGCACACGTGTGCGCGCACATGCGCGCGCCTACATGCCGCATGCGAAGCTGAGCACACGTTTAAACCTTCCATGATTAATTAGTCCTTAATGTTTCAAGCTTTGTTCAGCTGTAACAGAAGCTGGTCATGTACATAATTTTATGTTCCTAGTACTGGGGGCTTGTAGTTATCTTTTTACTGGTGTTATTCATTAGAGTGTAAGCTCCTGAGGGCAGTTGGAATGGTCTTTTAATTAATTGCTACAGGTACACAATGGGTTCTAAGTCAGTGCTATTGTCTAACTCCAGTCAAGTGTTTCTATGGTCAAAGTCACAACATGATTGGCCTGTGTGTCTTATCCTCATTAACCTGCTTCATCTCAGACTTCATGCTATCTGATAACATTGGGCCTTTACAGAGAAAGCATGAGTACACACACACACACACACACACACACACACGGTGAATGGGGCATAATAAGTAACATTTTTAGGACTGAATACTTAGTTTCTTCTAGCCATATTTCCTTTCCTTTCTCTTTCTGGGCCTTAGGCCATTTACTGCTCTTGCTTCCCCATAGTTATGCCACTGAATGGAACTTTTTAAGGAGATGGCTTGGGGATAGTTGCCCCACTTTGTAAAAAAAAATATATAAGGTTTATAGGGCAGTATGAATTCTGATATGTCAGACTGGGGAAAATATACTCTAAGCTCATAAGTAAGAAGAAACAGCATAAACATATTTTAGACCATTAAAGAATTAATTGATTTCACATACAAATTGATACAATTCCCCTGCTAAAATAAAAACCAAAGGACCGATACTCTGGGGGAAATAAGTCACCTGTTATCAAGGTAAAAAAATATTATATATGTAGAGATGTTTATTCCACAAGATACTTTGACTCAATTCTTCTTATCTCCATATATGACCAAGCAGCAGAGAATTTCCTACTTGCCACCTGCAGTGTTCCCCACACATCGCCATTAGGAATAAAGATATGAGATACTGGAGGAGTGAAATCAAATACCAGAAATAGATCATGATAAAATAAATCACTTTACAAATCATTCTCTGCACATTGTCTTCTTATTACTTGCCCACTTCCTTCCTTCCTCTGTTATGATGCTTTTCCTTTTTGACATGGGACTAATTTCACAGGATTGAAAACAACTCTTAAAAGAAGAGTTGGTACATCCTCCGTTTTAGAGATACCCAATAATTTGGACAGAGAGCAGCTCTTTTGCTGATATCAAGCAACTAAGCCACAAGCTCAGTAATCTGCTGTGCTTAGGCACTTTTGCAGAGAGCGTTTATTCTACCTCTGCTGTCTGTGTGCAGATGTCTCTTCCTCCCAATTCTAATCAATGTAAATTGGGTCAGATCTCCGCTGTGAATTACAAATTGGATCCGAAGTTGGAGGGTCACCGTGCCTGCTACTCCACCTCCTTCCCACCACCATTAGATGGGAAGCTACACCGAAGATCTTTTCTAAATAAATCAGACTTTATTGTAAAACTCGGCCACTGACGAGACATAACCTCATTAGCATTGATTTTAAAATAAATTATTGAAAGTGGCTTGCCTGCTCTTTGCATTTGTAAAATAGGAGAATGTAAATGTATTTGCAATGATAAAAATGAAAACTAAAACTTGATTCCTTTATCCTTTCAGGCAATTGCACTTAATCTAGTCATGGAACAAAAATGGAAAAAATAAAAATATGTTCTATGCAGTTCAATTCCAGACCAAATACTCTGATTCCCATTGAGCCTGTGGAGTCACCTAGAAAGAAAGCAGAATGCTGGTCATAGATCTTATATATCATTCACCACCACTGCTCAGCTCTACGGTGATGGATGTGAATGGGGAAGCTCCCATCCCCACATCTGTTCTATCTAATATTGTCCTTCCCAGGTGGCTGAAAGTGGACTCAAGTCAAGAAGCCTAGTTGTTGATGCGAGAGACTGGGTGCTATGACTCCGGGGCCTTTGAAAGAATGAGTATGGGGGTCCCATCACATGGGGGAGGAAAATGCCCTGCACAGCTGGTGGTGAAGGGCACACCTCTTAGTACCTTCCCAGCTTTAGAGGGCACAATATAAACAGAGAGGCATACAATTCATCTTGCACCCTTCAATGAAATCAAACTGGTATGTTTCAAACTCCAAAGCCAAGAAAACCAATTATATGGCAACAGAAAAAAAGAAAAGTCTCTTTGCTTACAGAATAGGGTGGGTTAAACAGCCACATTTCTCATTTTTAATCATCTGTAAGGTGAGCTTTTACTTTTAAAGAGATTATTTTGAGAAATATATATATTTTAAACTAAAGAGCTTATTGTACTTCTTTAGAAGAATAGTATTAGGCATCTTAGCATTACATCTACTGAAATACATCTTCATTTAAGAGAGAATTAAAATTTATGTGCTAGCTCAACTTTAAACAGTAATAGATTATAATGGTCCTTGCTCCTAACAGGGCATATGGGACCCCAACCTTACATAGGTTTTAAACAAATTAACCTCCAAAGATTATTGTCCGCTTATTACATTAAATGCTCTACTTGATTCCCAAATATCTCATCTCAGTTGGGAAAACAGTTGAGGAAGATTCTGTTAACTATGTGAACGTGTAAGAAAACCATGGGGCATCACAAATGAGCACCAGTATCCAGAGAGTTGATTTCAATCAACACTCTTGGCACAATGTCAGGGACGCTAATGAGAGGCTGAAACGAACAGGACACTGACTGCACTTTGGAGGCACAGAGAGGAGCCAGCTTCCCATGACACCTGGCTCCTTTCTGAAGTGCTGCTCTGATATTGGTTAAACCAATGCAGAGAGAATAACATTAAAAAAATGACTAGATCAGAAAGAGGGAGATCACTTCCCTCAAACAAAGCAAAATGACAGAAGCTTAAAAAATGCCAACTGTATCAATGTGCAACCAGATGTCAAGGTGTTCTGGCAACAGATGCAACCGAAATACAGACAGAATTCGAAGTGCAAAGGGAACACGCAGAAAAGCGGAAATAGAAACCACTCACAGCATGCACAACTATGTTATAAATCTGTGGATGCTACAGTACCTCTTTAGACAACATAGAAAATATGAGCAAGATGCTAATAACACATTTAATTCTCTGGTGTGTATTTGGTAATCTCAACTGTTACCTTAAAATATTTGCATCCTATCTCTGTGTTATGGTCTTGATGTACAAGATATTAAACTCAATTTCTGCTAACTGCAGTACTTGGAATGCACTGAACTTAATTTCACGAATAATAACTGAGCGCCTACTAATTGAGGGGAGAAAGACCTGAATACAAATCCCTGCGGTAAGGGCTAAAACAGAACTCAATTCCAGTTGGGTCACTGAGGAGAAACATTTGAGCACAATGTGTAGGATTTCATCAGCTAAGATCAGGGAGGATATTCTAGCTAGAAGAAAGCATTTTAATTCTGGTTTTGGTGCTGGCCAAGCAGCACTGTGTGGTTAGGACCCAGTGTGCTTGGGAGTGACAGAGAAAAGGCCAGGGAGCTTGATGGTGGTGCTGACTCTTCTTTGATGTTCCCCCCGTGCAGTGTTGCTTTTCTATGAAATTGGAATTTGCTTTCTTCATAATCTTTATATTTTTGGTGTCTGCTTTTTTCTTTCCACAGACCTCCTACAATCACTGTTTCTCCTTCCTGTGGGTCTGGACAACTGTACAGGGGGAAAAATAATTCCACAGAATGCTTGTTTCCATTAGAGTCAAATTAAAAACAAAAAACAAAATACCAAACCCAGTTATACGCTTTATTCTAAAGCAATCTGGTTTCTGCGTCTATAATAACCCTCCGGGGCAGTGCGGGCAGCATTGGAATGTGCACAGAAATTCCCAGGGAGGGCTCTTTGTCTTTCTTTCTGTTTGCTCTCCTGAAATCTCTCTAGAGAACACAGCCGGATTCTGTTGCCACTGCAGCTGCAGCAAGGCCCTAGTTACAGCTCTTCAATGGTCTCAGGCGCCCTGCCGGATTCCGGCCTTGAGGTCTCAGACAAAGAGAAACCTGATAAAAGTTGTCCTTTTATGGAATCTTGAATAGTGAAACTGGGCCTGTGCTAGCCTGTAAAATAATTTCAGGGAGGGGTGAGAGAGGGCTAAGAAAAAGCCTGCCATTTCCCCACATATTGCTTTAGCATTTCTTTGTGGTAGTTCCCTGCAGTTTAATCTACTGCGAATGAGATCTTAAAAATCAAGGGCCCCCATATGCTCGACATGGATGTTCAGAAATCCCACCGGACACCAACCTTGAAACCATATGATCCAGGATGAACATTTTTGTGGTCTTGGCTGAAAACCTCGAGCGCTCTGGTTTTCTCTCATGGGAAGGAGAATGCTCGCCACATAGCAAATGCTAATTATCCTATGATTCATGTGATGTAGTGAATTTAATTTGATGACCTATATGTTATTTTGATTAGGAAAAAATATTTTTGTATTGACTTGTTATGTGACTACAGGCACTTTTCTCTCTACTAGGAGTCCACTTACAAGGCCTTCAACATAGAGACCATAAGGCTTGTGCAGGCCTCATCTCAAAGAAAAGGAAACAGACCATCAATGCTAAATAGTCTCCACAAAGCACATTGACCTATTATAATGAAACAAATGTTAGCTGACCAAGTTATTTGACTATTGATGGGTATGCAACCTTAGCTCCATCCAACATTACTATTGGCTATCCCTCCACCCAGCACCTGTCCTCGCAATAAAAATGGGCCTGAGCAGAAGGTGTGCTCCACATTCCATCTGCTCAGGATTTTCAATTTCACCTGCTTCATACCTAGGGCTGAAAATGCCCAACTGGATAGTCTCAGGTCTGGTTGGTTGAGGTGGTGAACTAGCCATTCCCCAACTCTTCAAGGAAGTAACACTTCCTATTTAAATTCCACCAAATTAACAATAGCCAGCACTTATTGAGTGCTCACTGTATTCCAGGGCTCTGCTCTCAGTGCTTTATACACATTGATTCTAGATTTCTCACGGCATCTCTCTATGATAGCAACTATGGTTATTCCCATTTTACAGGTGGGAAAGTCACACAGAGAGAGGACAAATAGCTTGCTTAAGGCCTCACAGCTAGCAGGTAGCAGAGCAGGTCCATCCTGACTTGGAGCCAGTACTTTTGTCTGCTATACCATGCTGTCTTTCACATGCTGCAGCTCCAACGGTAGTCTTATGAGATGGCGGCAGAGGGGAGGCAATGTTCAGGCACACATTCCCTTTCAGGTCCTCCAGGACTGGTAACGTGGCACACGCAAAACTAAGCAATTTCAGAAGCAACAGTCTGAGTGGGGTAGATGGCAGGCCAGATGATGGAGACTTATGGCTGAAATATTCCTATCATAATTAAATGCCAATATATTCCTACCTCCAATTCTGTCTCTAAACACTGTGATGGATAGCCCAGTGTGGCTCAGTGGTTGAGTGTCGACCCATGCACCAAGAGGTCACCAGTTCAATTCCTGATCAGGGCACATGCCCAAGTTGTGGGCCAAGTCCCCAGTGTGGGGCATGCAGGAGGCGACCAATTGATATTCTCTCTCATCGATGTTTCTATCTCTCTCTTCCTCTCCCGTCCTCTTTCTCTCTCTCTAATATCAATAAAGAAAAAAAAAACTGTGATGGATAGAAAGAGGTTTTGGGAAAAGAACCTGTTAGTTGGGTACAACACTGTCCTTTGGAAACTTATTAACAAATTAGCTGCCATTGCCCCTATCTGCAGAAAGAGACCCTGGCTCTCCTACAGTGTGGCCTTCCTCACTTTTGAGGGACAGTTGTTGTGAGCATAGGTAAGTGGTTTTTCTTGAGAAAGCAAACCAGTCTCCATGCCCTTGGAGTCCACTCCAACACCCAGCCTGGTATGATTTTGAGGGGAAGGCCCTGGTAGCCTGGGCAGTGCCACACTGGTGAAGGGTAGAAGTTTCAAAGGCCAGGGAAAGATGATGGTTAAGAAGTCAGTCATACATTCATTAACCCACCTGGGGGTAAGGCGATGATCCCAAACTCATCTTATTTTCTGAGGCTTCTGTCCCTTTACTCTCCTTTGCTCCCCCTCTCTGAGCATCTGCCCCCTCCTCCATGGCTTCTTTGAGAACTAAACATGGTACATGAAAAAGCCCTTCTTTGCTCTCCAGAAGACTGAGTGATTCATGGCGGTTTCCTAAGAGCACTCTTCCACAGCTGTAGCCCAAAGTAGAGCGTCACCCGGATATTTCCCCAAGCCTGGGCAGGAGTGAGTGGAATGCAAGCTCACTAGGACGATTCTGGCCAAAATGGGGAGTACATCTCCTTTTAGGGAGCGTTGTGAATTAGATCCATTTCTGCACCCTGCTGTTGCGATGGAGCAGACTGTGAAAGGGAAGATTCTCAGAGGAGCTGTGTTTTAATGTAGCAATTTGATTCAATTTTCCACTCTATAAAATTACCCATCACTGCTCGTTGCTTTCTAACAGACACCTTCACTCTTAATTTAACAATCCTATCGAATTCTGCCAGGGAAATTGGAAAAATTTATCACCTGTGAAATTTTATTTTCCTTTGGTTGTATCTGTTTTTGTAAAACTTCATTAACGACGATGACTTGCTGAGGAAATTATCATTTTTTTTTTAACTTCAGACACAAGAAATGGCTCGACCTCAACCAAGATATCATTTGCATAATAAAACACAACAAAAAGGCTGGGGAAGTTGGGACTGGCAGAGGCTGGAAGAGCTATAAGACTCAGACTCTGCTTGGTGGGTGGTGGGTGAGGTCCCAGCAAGGATAAAATGTGTGGCCACAGTCCTGATCCTTGACTCAGGAAGCAGTGACATGGCTTCTCCTTCAGGGAAGAGACAAATACAGTGTTGATAGGGTTAGACCCTCTTCTGAGGAAGTCCTGAAATACAAGTTGCTTACTCAGGGTGCTTTTTAGCAACCAGTCCTGTCTTCAGGGGCCCGAGTGTTAGCTTCACCTTAGTTCCTAAGTTTATCTGGGACTGAAGTTTAAATTGCTATAAATTTAGGCTTAACTCGAATTTCTCAGCAGAGCCTGGCAAATTTCCACAGGAGCCATCTTTCTGAATGGACTTGAAGATTCAGCGTTCCTGCGGTCTAACTACCTCACAATTAAAAGGCTCAGGCTTCAGTTTTCTACAGTCTGACCCCCACTGTGTTCTGCACTGTTCAACAGCTGCTGTTATCCCCACAAGAAGTGGCTCTGCGGAAGCAGTGATGACTCTACAGTCTTTGAGATGCCAGTTATCATGCCTTTGAAAGAGAAGAAATATGTACAGTTTACCTGCTCTAATGGTGGGCAGAGGGCACACGTTAGGGCTATTTGTAAGAGATACAATTGGATTCATGGTATGCCTGAACTAGGTAATAATGAGCTGTGTTCCATCAGGGTTTTACTGGGTTACAGAAAAGGTTTGTCAGCATTTATCTCTATTCCTTCAGACTTTTAATATCCATCATTTTGAGGCAACTCTCCTTTATTCTCACAATCACACAGAAAAGAAGTTGAAACTAGAGAGTTACGATGATCCACCCCCAAACTCACAGTAAACCAATGAAAACTAACATAAGTATTCTTAACTCTTTCACCTTATTGATATATGTAATAAATTACTTCACATGGTAAAGACAAAAGACCCTCCCTGAACAATTCACCTTGCTCCCTGCGCAAAGGAGAACTTCTAATCATGGAGGCTCCACTGAAGCTCCCTACGTGGTCTCCTTTAGAGATTTGGATTCCTCTGGAGTTTTCAGAGTTATATTCTCTTACCAGGTCAAGAGTTTCTGAAACTCGAAAAAGATAATTAGAAGATAAAGTTTCTCACCTGGTAAGACTTCGTAAATATCTTCTTCTTCTTTCTCCTCTGAGGGCTGTTTTAATCCTATACTCCCAGGCAAGATAATGGGTCTGTGTTGGGAACCAGAATTTTGGGAGTCAAGACCATCAATATCATCATACATCTCTTCCTCTTCTTCCTCCTCTTCGTCATCATCATATGGAATGGTTAAGGAATTCAGATCTGCCAAGGTAGAGATTAGAATGAATCAAGATAGGGAGAAAAAGAAAAGAATAAGGCAGGGCAGGAAAGAGGGAGAAGGAGGAGGAGGGATGAGAATAAAACATGTCAAAAGAAAATGAAACACTAGGTTAAGTGCTATTATTTCTAATGTGGGCCTTGGTGGCAGGAAATCTACAGGAAAGGCCAGACTAGCACTGCATCAGGTTTAAACCATCAACATAAATCCTTCCTTGCAATAAAACTTGATCAGGATGAAGCAGCCTGAAAAGTATGGGTGTGTGAATGAGCGCACGAGGTGAAGGGAAGAAAATAGGCCAGAAGAGGAAACACCAGCGTGCCACACACTGTTCGTCAAGTGGAAAACTGGAAAGGTGAGTGATGGCCTGTGGTTCTCCAGGGTGCACAGAGCTGTGGGAACTATGGTGGCTTCCGTAGGGTATCTGAGCTGTCAGAAGCTCATCTCCCCCATGATCTCACTGAAGAATTTCAGATAAGTTTGTTTATAGATAGAAAAAGAAAAAGTGGAAGAGGGAGAGAAAGTGAGATATGGAAAAAAATATAACAGCAATACAAGACCAAATGGAATGGCTTAGCAATGTGGTTACCATGTCCTTTTGCAATTGTACAGTCTGGCTGACCTTAAAGTGGGTCACTGCATAGAGGATGTTGAGCCATTACAGCGCTGGGGAGCCCAGGGCAGGGAGATTGGTTTTTATTTTAATGGGGAACTGGGAAGGTTCATTCTCTGATGTGTAGTACAGAGTGCTCTCTGAAACCCTGCTGAGGGACCTCTGCAGGATGGGCGAGTACAGTCAGGGTACTCTAGGGAAGGGAAGGATGGAGAGACATCCGATGTTCATTTCAAAACACAATAAAACTGTTTGGCTTGATTAGGCTTTTAATAAAGATTTTGCAATGATTTTCATCTGAATTCTGGTGCCACCTCATATGAGGAAGGGATCAAAGACACATTTGTGGCTTAAACCATATGTTATTATTTTGTTTGTTTTAAAATAAAATGAAATGAATAATTTCTTCAATGTGGAATTCTGAAAGTACCACAGGGTACAGCTCAATAAAGCTGCTTTGAGTTTTATTGAGGTTTACACACTTAGGGGTATATTACACGCATAAATCTAAGGCACCTAGATGAGAGTGTACCCTGTAGTCTCGCCATCAATGTTCATGTTTGCCTAGTTCCAGTCTATTATACGTGATGCTCTTGGTAGAGGCAATAGTTTGTTTTTTTGATAGCAAAAGCATAAACTGAGTAAAATAGGCAATTCTTGTAATTAAAGCTCTGGTGCTTCCTTCTTTTTATCCACAATAAAATCTTATAGCAGAATAAAAAACAGAAATGCAAAGGCTTGGTGTTTTTAGGTTGACGTGCTTCTCCCTAGGTTGTGGGCCATATACAAAGTTGGTGTTTCTGCCTTTCTGTGGAGGCAGGGTCCTGCTGTGATGTACACTACCATGAGGGTCATCTGATGCCAAGTGACAGACTCAAGGTTAGCTTCTACCTGCCAGGCCATTTCCAGACAAGGCTTCCTGGGCCACTGTCACTGCTGTGCCTGCAGGCTGGCCAGCAGAGGGTACTCTAAGAGCAGTCATTTAACATCTTCAGGCAGGACTCTTCTCATCCTAAAGCAAGGGACATTTTATTGTGGGTTGGGAATAGAAATTTGTTTTAAATGTCCAATGTTGTTGAAGGCCACCAAGATGAGTTTATATTTTTACTTCCTACTAAGACCCCCACAAAAAGATTTTGGATATAAATTGCCTCTAGATGACTTAAGTTTGATATGAATTTTCTTTCCTGAATATAAAGGCTTAAGAGACACTAAATTGAGTTGAGCTGGTTTCAGAATCTTCTTTTCTAGCGATTATAAATATTACGGTCTTGCCTATAGGTAAGTGGATGAGCTAGAATGATACCAGTGATATCAAACTATCAGGTTGATAGTTTCTTTACCTTCTGATTTATACATAGCACTATTTGTTTTTATAATATAAGGGATTGGTAGGAAGGGTAAAAGGGAGAATGGATCAGAAAAAACACATGTTGAAGCCTGTGATTATATTTATGCCATATAACTTCAACTGTAAATACACTTAAGTATTATTTCTATAATAATGATACTTACCCTTTAACAAGAAACTTATTTGATCCACCCAGTCTCTGGCTTCAGCAGGATTAGTAGCTGTAAACTAGAGAAACATTAGTGAATTAATTTATCAGCGTCACTAAAGTTTCCATGAGTCCTATGGGGAGGTTCAAGGGAGGTAACTTGTGAATCCAGTTTCAGAGTCATGTTGAAAGCTCAGGATTCTCTGCCTGCTTAATATTTTGAAAAAAGACCAAAAATACTCAAAGTGATTTTTGCCTTCAGCAATTTTGTATACCCAATGTTGACAGCTATTTGAGTCCAGAATTCATGTCCATGTGTATTCATTCGATTACCCATTCATTCATCAGTCATTTATTTGATAAAAGTTTACAGGAAAAAAGCGGACAAAAATTCCTGACTTCAAAGAATAATGCATCAGTTATGAAGACCACATACACACTTGAAATGGGGACACTATAAAGTAGGAGCATTGGATAACAGCTGAATATTGAGAGAAGATAGGGAGTAATTATTGTTGCCTAAAGTAAGCACAGAAGCTTGTTGAAGTAATACTGTTCTGGTTGGATTTTAAAAAGAATTGTTGGAAGGAAACTGGTGGAGGGAGTTGGATAGTTTAGGAAGGGAGAACCGTGTGCAAAAGACTAGGAACGAGACCATTGTGTATGGGGAAGATAGGCAGATAAGCTTGACTGGAGAACAATAACCGATGAAACTAGAGGGTTGCGGGTCAGAGAAGAGTTGATGAAACTGGGAGTTCAGACTTACAATGTAGGCAATAGGAAGTCACTGTAAATTCTAGCAAAAGGAATGGAAGATTCAGTAGTTGTGGATAGGAAGGATTGAAATAGGGAGAAATTGGAGACAGAAGAAGGCTATTTAACTAATCCTCTGGGTGAAGTGATAACAACTTAACTATTGTGATGGCTGTGGGAATAAATAAGAAGGGAAAGATCCAAAGGATATTGTAGAAGAAGAATCCACAGACCATGATAATGACTTGGATTCAATGGGCCAAAGAAAAGAAGAAGTAAACAAAGTCTACATTCTGATTCACAAAACAGGCCAGTCAGGCATCAACCCTTAGTAATTTTTTTATTTTAAATGAATCAACTTGAAATGACTGCTTCTGAAAACATTTTTATTATCTGGCCATTAGGGCAAGATAAAGATATGTACTGTATACAAAACCTATATTCCTGCTTAATACTTATTAATATACATTGTCCTTCTTGATTTCTTAAAAACACATTTGTATTAAAAATGTCTAGGGAAATGGATTTGGACTTGTCATAAAAATTTTTATCTGGATGAGGCACCATCAGAACTGAATAATAAAAATAACTTAGAAACATACCCAGTGCATACATCTGTAATATTTATATCTATAAATGACTCTATAGAAAAGTTTAAATTAAAAACAATTTTGAAATTATATAATGAAAACCTAGGTCATTTAACAAAATAAGGGTTAAGATACTGTAGAAACATAAAAGGATAAATGTTGAGAAAAATTTGGAGTCAAAGGATTATATACATGCTTAACATTAACCTTAGCATGTTTTTTTTTTTTCTTCCTTTTCACAAGTTAGCTAACGGCTTTCTAAACTGTTATTGTAAAATCATGATAAGATAAAAATTACCAACAAGCAGGAAACAATATGTATGTACACACAAGCAAATATATTTTTGTTGAAAATCACTATATTCTCAAAGTCAGAAATTTTTTATTGCTTTAATTAATTTTGTAATAGGTAATAAATGCATTACATATTCTATAAAATATATTAAAAATGAATACAGTGAAGAATAAATCTTTCTTACCCCACCCAGGTCTACTCCCTCAGTTATCACTATTACTATTCAGTAATCATTGTCACCAGTATCTTAGAAATCTTTCCAAAGATATGCAGTGCATCTACACACAGGAAGATTATTTTGGATAGCAAGATGAATATGGGAGAATAAATTAGTTTTCACTTGACAGTAAGATTTTTCTTTTTTTGGATTTCATGGAAAGGAGTGAAGATAATCAATTGAAAAATAGAGAGAATGGGAATTAAAGCCACGAAATTAGAGGCTATGAATGAGGAATTACATTGTGTGCTGCGATAGACAAGACTCTCACCTCTGGAGTGAGACCAAGAAGAGGAGGGATGAAGAGATAGAAGTCAGGCAGAGGCAGTATCTAGGGTGAGACTGGCAACAGAGAGGAGAAGGGAGGGCATAACATAGCAAAGGTGAGGATGTGTCAAGAAGGAAGGTCTTGGTAGAAAATGAGCAGGTAACAGAAAGAATGAAACTCAGCATAGCAACCACGGCTCACATGCAACATGGAAGGAAACTACAATGCTAATGAGGACCACCATCTCCTCAGTTCATCCTACCTCATAGCTGCGCCTATCCTGGGAGGTCAGTTCAAAGCAGGATTCTTTCTTGGAATCTTTTCGCAGGTAGGGGGCCATCCGTACACTGTAGCCCTTAATGAGAAAGGTCCCTTTGGGCTGCTTGCCTGCAAGACAGGAAAGCTTCCTGTATCCCTAGAGAGATGCAACTGCCAAGGGAAGGCATCTTCTCTGGTATGTAAAATAAAAGCACAGAAACAGCTGTTACATCCCTGAGGAATCACAACAGTCAAGGAAAGGTTATTAGGGAAGCTTAAGAAGAGGCTACGGCGACAGCGAGGCAGATATCACTGCCAAGCTAGGGAAACGCTACACGAAAGGTTATTTTGCCAAAAGAGTACAACGGAGACAGAGAATTTATTAGAATGTTAAGAGATCTATAATAACAGAAAGAAGGAATTATTACAGCAGGGAGAGTGTGGCTGTAAACGTGAGGCTCTTGAAGGCTGTTATAGAAATGAAACATTATTACCAGGTCCAGCAGAGCTCACATTTGAGGGGAGGGATAGCAGTGCAGGGGGCATTATAAATTCCCAGGATCTCGTCCTATGCCCCATGCAGCATTTGGGCTACACCCTTCTCCCCTCCTGCTGGTCCGGTGGGAATTTATGCTAGAGGGAGAATAATTAAAACGCAGTATTTTATCCTCCTTCCAAGAAGTCAAATTGGGAGGTAGCAGAGTATTGTTGAGTATCATCAAATGACGAGGAAGGCGATAAAAGGCAAAGGACCCTAAGTGAAAGAAAGGAGACAGTACTCTGCCCATCATTCCCTTTAAAAAATATTGGAAACAGGAAAAGAAGATGTGGTTCTCAAGAATTTTGTGTCCTCAGGGTATGGTTCAGGTAGAATTCACAGAGGCACCACAGTGTCTGGGCGATGCTTTGTGTTCTGTATCATGTGGAATGAATTGCTTAATAAGTGCATTTTGATGATGATGATGATGATGATGATGATAAGAATGGCAGTGGGCTGACAATAATTAAAAGAAAAGAAAAAGAACGAAAAAAAAAAGATTCTGTCCTTACCTGGTTGAGCTGAAAGAAAATACACAAACACTCTATACTTACTGAGAAAATGTCTTGGGCACAATAAGAAGTAACTGGCGAGATGGGAGCCATGCAACAGTGCTTTCTGACACCAGAATCTTTTTTGTTAAAGTATCTCTCCTTGTTCTAACTGGCTACTAAAATGTTTTGTTGTTTCTTTGGTCACCAAATTTTATTTCACTCTGACAGCAAAATGGTCAATAAAAGTCTCCTAGTCTCTCACTCTTGTTCTCCCGTTCACCTTGAGTGTAAAGGATTCTGAGTAAAGGAACATGATACTTGGTTTTCTATCCAGATATGCCAATCACTTATTTAAATGCAAAGGAAATGATGAACAATTTTACAAAGACATAAATGTTGTATTAGTTTGAAGGTTTAAAATAAGAAAATCACACCTGGCTGGTTTGTATGCCTACCAGGGAGAAATTGTGGTTGCTGGGTTTGAAAGTGGGTTTGGGTTTGGGTAGGGGACTTGTTACTCAGTTTTTGAGGTACACTGCTATCATTTCCAAGTAGGGCTACACACTTTACCCTTAGGTGGAAAGGCTCTGAAAAGTTCAAGATGGTGAGCCCAAGGAGAGAGTCAGTGATACCTGCAGCAAGTAGGCAGAGAGGCATGATGAGGCAAGCCTTAAGGATTCCAAGTCATTTAGCAAAGTTGCAGTCTTTTCTGCTACCTTAGTGCTAAAGGTACAGAAAGTTCAAAGGCAATGGGGGTAAACATCTGATTATACCCTAGACTGGATATCTAGGCATTGGGAGAGGAATAAGTCTGGGAGAGAAGGAAGAGAGCAGAAACAGAAAATGATCTAAAGGAAAAGAAAGAATTTACTCTGGATCATTGGCCTCTGTACCAAGGCAGTAGAGCACAAGAAATGTCCCCACAAAAATTGATGTTTTACTTTACTTAATCCCCTTCTTGTCTTATAGAATTACTCCAGGGGCAGTCTGAATCTGTAGGAGGATATTCTATTTGAAAAGTCTGCATTCACCTGCAGTGATAATTTTTAGCTTGTATATATTTGTAGCCACTTCCAATTTGTGCTAATATCTTCTATTCCTTCTCACGAATTAAGCAACTGTGATAAGCATGGATGGGAGTTCTTCTAGGGAGAGCTTATGAATGTTATGCTTGATTGAGTTAGTGGTGGCTTATTAAGAAGCTGCTTCTGGCCTGAGTCAACACTTTGCTATGGCTGCCATCTGGCTGAAGGGTGTCTCTTGGGCACAGCAACCATTTGAGTCTCAATACTCCATGGTTCTAGGGATGTCCACTGTATTACTTCCCAGGAGTCAGAAGAATAAAGTTTACAGCATATTCTCAGCGAGTTTAGATTTAAGGATTTTATTTCTGGGCCACTGGTAAACTGTTTAAATCTTTCTCAGAATTCATTTATTTTCAATTTTTTAACTATATCATTAAGAGTTTGAGGTTCTTTCTTCCTTAAAAAAATGCCAAAGTGTTCAACCTTGATAATGTTGTTATTAGTCATAATAAAAGATAAGCCTTAGATATGCTGACCACAATATCCTAGTGTTTAAATGGAGATAAATTCTAAATTGTCATCTGAGTGTTTGGTGATAGCCAAGGTATTATTTACTCAAGCCTAGTTCTTTCCCAAGCAGGTCCCTTTATGGGTGTTAGTTAAGGATTGCTATCTTGAGATCTAAGTGCTTGAGAATTTACGAAGTGTTTGCATCCAGGAGTGAGATGCTGCTGTGCAAATGAAGAACACTTACTTTTCTCATTAGCATAGTAGTAGAAGAAGCCTCTGCTGACAACACACCATCTCTTCTGCCACTCCGATCCAAAGAAACTATGATCTAAATGGAACAGCAGTAAGGAACATAAATTCAGATAACTACAATCACTGAAGAGTCTGTAAAATCCAACAATACACAGTCCAGTGTATTATTGTTTTATTTCCCAGGTTAATGGACTGTAAAACCCTCCCTTTCACTCCCCTGGGTTATCCCATATTGACTCAGAATCCAGAGGACTCACTCAGTTAAAGGTCCAAGTTCTAAACAGGGTTTGCCTGCTCTGACCCCTCAAAGTTATCTATTGTCCTTTATTTCAGTTTCAAATCTTATCATATACTTTTCAAATTCTTCATGATATCTTTATGTGTTGCCTTTTAGGAAATCAAAATGATGCTCTAGGCCATGGGTACAAGAAAAATTTTCTTTGTACTAGGCCAGTTTGCCTGTTGAGTATTAAACCTGGGACTCCGGCCCTTGTACTACCTATTACTATCAAATGAGTGTTAGGTTAAGATTGGGGCCCCTCTGAAACTTGAAAGTGGTTGCTTCACACATGATATAAAAATTATACTCTTGGCAACACAGTTTCACCCTTCATGGGAGGACACTGAGAGATGAGAACAAGAATAGCATTCATTTGTTTATTCAACAAGTATTTATTAAGCATCTTGTGTACCAGGTGAGCAAGGTAGAACCAGTCCCTATCCTAATGAAGCTGACAATCTGCTGAAATTTTGGGCCATCTCTCTTCAGCCTACCCATCAAACTTCTTTTCTTCTCTTCCTTTTGCCTGCCACCTACCTAGTACAATACTGGGCATAGAGAAGGCACCTGCTAGGTTAGCCTTCTTTTTCCTCATTTCCCTTCCCTTCCTGGAATGTTTTGAGATTTGTGGGTCTGATCAGTACCTTTACTTTTCTTTTCCAAGTATCCTTGCTTGATGATGTTATCAAGCTCTTGAGCTCCTCTTGTGAAGTCTTCTATTCCTAAAAGGAACAATAGCAAAATGCTTTGTTGAAACCTGACAGAATTGTCATTTATTTAGGCTACTTTCAATAATCTACATTAATGAAGGGGTACAGAAGGACAATTGCTTAAACACAACACAACATAAAACAACTAGATTGGGGAAAAAAAGTAAATTTTCTTTCTTCCTTATATCTATTGCTAAACATACATTCGTTTGTGCAAGAGGAGATAACCTAAATATGTATTGATTGGCCGGAAAAGGACTCCAGAGAATTAAGAATGTGCTGTGGATATAAGCCCCAAATTGGATAATCCACATTGAGATAATCAAAAGTCAAATGAATAGCTACCAGCACAGACAAGATTTAATGACAGTCATCTGAGGAACAATAAACATATATTCATTAACAAAAACACAACAACAACAAACAGCCACCTTAGTGAACATAATTTTATTAAGTTCACACAAAGAAGGGTTATGGAAGCTGAACTTGGCAATAATGGCCAAATCCTGGTTTTGTCAAAGCATGGGAAGAAGTCTAAGAATGGCAGAATCCTTTACAAAGAGAAGATCCTGACTGACACCAGTCTTTAATTGCATGCTGCTAACATTCTTGGCTTTCAATTAGTCTTGTTAGCTATAAATATATTAAAAAGTCAAGATCCTAATCCATGTTCCACCACTGGAGTTTATACTTATTTTATAGAAGGGAGGGGCAAAGAACAGAGATGAAGAGGAAGGAATTTACTCCTCAAAAAATAAAATGAGCCCGGCCGCTGTGGCTCAGAGGTTGAGAGTTGACCCATGCACTAAGAGGTCGCCAGTTCGATTCTCAGTCAGGGCACATGCCCAGGTTGTGGGCTCGATCCCCAGTGCGGGGCATGCAGAAGGCGGCCAATCAGTGTTCTCTCTCATTGATGTTTCTATCTCTCTCTCCCTCTCCCTTCCTCTCTCTCTAAAATCAATAAAGAAAAAAAAAAATGAGCCTTGGCTGGGTGGCTCAGTTGGTTGGAGCATCATCCCATACACCAAAACGTTGTGAGTTCAATCCCCAGTTGGGGTGCGTACAGGAAGCAACTAATTAATGTTTACCTCTCTCTTTCTTTCTGTCTTTCTCTCTCCCTCCCTTCCTCTCTCTCTCAAATCAATAAACATATCCTCAGGTGAGGATAAAAAGAAAAAAAGAAAAACAACAACAATACTAAAACCACAAACTCTTCCAAAAATATAATTCTATATTTCTTCATTAGGAGAAATGAAAGGAGTAGGTTAGTGTAATGCTAATATTTATTATTTTTAGTCCTCAAACCCAAATCTCTTTTGGTTTGCCCTAAAAAATTTAGAAAGTAGCCCTGGTCGGTTTAGCTCAGCAGTTGGAGTGTCAGCCTGAGGACCCGAGGGTCCCGGGTTCAGTTCCTGTTTGGGGCACGTACCAAAAAAAAAAAAAAAAAATTTAGAAAGCAAACAAAATACAAACCAAATTAAGGCACAACCTATATATAATATCTTGAGACTGTTGGGTGGGATAATTTTTTCAATTATACATTAAAAAAAATATCTCCTGCAATAACTAAGTTTTATTCAGTGATGGCTACTTTGCTCAGGGCTTTACATACTTTTGTTTAAAAATAACATTTTAAGACAATGTAAAATGCAACTAAAATGGTCTCTTACTTCTAAGTTGTTACAAGCTTAGGTTTATTCTTTTTAATTTTTTTTTTTTATTCCTTACCCAAGGATATTTTTCCTTCCATCATTAGACAGAGTGGGAGGGAGGGAGAAAGAGAGAAAGAGAGAGACAGAGAGAAACATCAATGTGATAGAGACACATTGATTAGTTGCCTCCCACACGACCCAATCAGATCCAGGGATGAACCACAACCACAATATGTGTCCTTGACCAGAATCAAACCCGTGACTCATTGGTCTGTGGGCCAACGCTCCAACCGCTGAGCCAAACCGCCAGGGCTATTTTTTTTAAAAAATTATCTTTATTGTTGAAAGTATTACAGATGTCCCTCCTTTTTTACCCATAGTGACATCTCCGCCCTGCTCCCATCCCCCTCTGCCTTCACTGCACTATACAAGCTTAGTTTTTTTTTTCTTCCTTTATTGATTTTAGAGAGAAAGGAAGAGAGAGAGATAGAAACATAGATGAGAGAGAACATTGATTGGCTGCCTGCATGCCCCCCACTGGGGATGAGGCCCACAACCTGGGCATGTTCCCTGACTAGGAATGGAACTGGAAATCTCTTGGTGCATGGATCGATGCTCAACCACTGAGCCACACCGGCCAGGCTCAAATTCCTTGTTCATGGACGGTTTTCATTTGTGTGTTTTACAGTTAGCTAACTCTGTGGCTGCTATAAATCCTCCCAGAGGAGTCTCAGGGTGCACACAGGAGATCAATAGAAGCAAAGGAAAGTTTGCTTGTCTAGGGTCCTTTCATTTCTCCCATCTCTCTGAAAATTCTAATATCTCTTTGAAAATGCTCTCTAAGAAAATAGAAACGGGTCCCACTGAGGGTGGGATGAGGACCCAGTATGACTGAAAAGACCCTTTGAAGCAGAGCCCATCCGCTCTGCAGCACTTTCAAAAATCACTCCTAGAGGCCCAAAAATTAAATGAAAAACACAGGAGATAAGAAAAACAGGATTCCTTAAGCTTGAAGTTTTCATCTCTTCTTCCCATGGGTCCCCCCTCACCTTTTTAAAGGTCTTGTTAAACTTAGAGACACAGCTATCTGTTAAAGATGCTGAGAGTCTGAATCATAAAAGACATGTTAAACGTTCTATTAGACTTCAAACCTCCGTTTTTAAATGCAAATCTAAATGCCATTATATGGAACATCTATAATTATGAAAATGGGAAGACATTGCCTCGTGTGCGGGGAGAGTCTGTGAGTATGAATATTACATTAATGTGCCCACACCAGCTCACTGATCCTGCTGGCAGGAGCATAAAAAATGCTTGAGTGAAACTTTTATTTAGATGTTAAGACTCCAGGCCCCAGCGGGGTGACAGAGACAGTCCCTGTGAGTTGCCATCAGAGAGAGAGCTTGAATTGAATTACCCAGGGGGGAAGGAAGTAGTGATGAGCACTGCTTCGCTTATTTAATTTCATTTACTTTCAGTACATTATCAGCATGCGGCTTTTCTCTCCCCACCAACTGAAATCCAAGAATGTTACCACCAAGAAAACAAAGACATAATGCAGCAGAGACGCTTGAATTTCAAATCAACAATTCTAAGAGACTAGGGATAGCTCCGTCACCACCTTTTCTCCCCAACGTCACACCTGGTATTCTAAAATTGGGCACTGAATGAGTTGCTAAATTTTCTTTCTTGGTCATTTACCAACAAGATTCTGAAGAGTAATAGAGCTGGAAAATGCAGTATTTTATGTGCTGTATTTTTGTAAGATGTGTTATGTTGCTTTCTTATTAGAGGGAATCTGTATTGATGAACTCTCTTGCCTGGTTTCTCTTGTGAGCAGTGGGAAAAATGGGATTATAGGTGAAGTTTGGAATGACTATGGAAAAAAATTAGGAAATAAAAAAATCAATCTCGATTCTATTGATTATTTTCTATGTGCAAGGCACTGTACAATAACAGAATTGTTCTCAATGTAAAGATGACTCTGAGCTCAATTTCATCAGCTCCATGACTTATCAGATACACCTAGACAACCAAGATGGGAAGCCACTGTGGCAACCACGCTCTCTCCCCTTTCAGTGTCAGTTCAGGATTCTACTGATCGAGAATTGATTATCCTGAAGGTGCACACATTAGTCACAGTCCTGGGGTGATGAAACAGGAGGAGTCTTGCATGTTAGAATTGACACCTACTGGCAAAAGAACAGATCTGCAGAGCTACTTAATGCATAATAAAAGTATGTAAATGCTTTGCAGGAAGATAATAAAAATAGGAAGAAGCCACAAACAGTTGCTATTTTAAGGCAGAAATATTTATATTTAAGTATACAATTAAAAAAAAAAAAATCAAGCCCTGGCTGGTTTTGCTTGGCGGTTAGAGCATTGGCCTGCAGTTCAGAGAGACCCGGGTTTGGTTCCTGCTAAGGGCACGTACCTCAGTTGCGGTTTGTCCCCAGCCCTGGTTGAGTAGTGCAGGTGGCAGCCACTCGATGTGTCCCTTTCACATCGATGTTTCTCTCTCTCTCTCCATCTCTCTCCCTCCCACTCTATCTGAACAAAAAATGGAAAAATGTCCTCGGGTGAGGATTAAAAAAAAAAAAATCAAGGTTTTTTTGTCTATTACCTGAAAAAAGATATTACAACCTTAATGAAAAAAAAAAAGAAAAATAATTTAGGTTTATTGGGAATAAATGGTTCTCTTGGATAAACCTAAGGGTGTATCACATTTTATCGGCATAAAACAGAATGACAGTAGTGTCATAATCTCTCTCTACCACTACACTTAACTAAAACTGTCAGAATAGCCTATATAAAGAAAAGATTCCCTTAGCTGAATGATATGGGGCCATAAAGATAAGATCAACAGAGAGGTGTGTTACCCAGAAGTGATGGCCACCCAACTTTCATGGAAGATAAAGATAAAAGAAATTCTCAGACATCCTTCTCTCCTCATCCAGATTCCTTTAAACCCTGTATCCCACCCATTCCCAACTCTGCAATAAAAAACGACAGAGTAGAATTCCATCTCTCCATGCCAAACACGACTCCTCAGTCAGCTACTCACAGCAACAACATGGGGACCCTTTAGAGTGTGATACATTTCCATAAAGCAGTCAATAAAAAAGACACAGGAGCTTATGTGAGTCACGGCCTATTTAATTAGCTGCGTTCTAGCCCACTGAAAAAAGAGAATTGAAGAAATCAGTTGGCAACACCACCACACAAGGCAAACAGCACAAGAGGCCACACAGTTTCCACCGCAAAAAGCCTGCAGCGCCTGCAGAACAAACCAGGTGCCTGCGAACTTTCATTATAGGTAGCTGGTTTGGTCTCTTGCTAACTGAAGCTGAAATGAAAATC